TTCAACGAAGTGGTTAAACTGCGGCTCGACGAGTTGTCTCTGCCTCTATATAAATGAATTATTGTGTCCGGACGCGACGAGAATATATAAGCGGGATATTAATAACGCATACGTCGTCATTTTTTCCTTTCTATCTGCAAACCAAACCGTCGAAATAAGACGCATCGCTGATTTAAAATAAATTTGCAAATGCTGATTTCAGTGATTTTTTTTCTTTTTACTCCGGATTCGGATATGCGCGATGATCTAATCCTGTTTTCATTTCAATTATCCAGAATATTTTGCAAATATAAAAAATAATTCTCAAAAATAAATTTTTTACAAAAATAATAAATATGTATATATCAGATATCTTTAAGAGATTATATTTTTTATTTTTAAATTTATGATCAATTCCTTTCAAAAATAATTAAAGTTTTTTTGTTCAAATATTCTTGGAATTTGTCATAAAAAAAATAATAAAAACGAGGTTATTAGCATCATTTTGAAAAATTGGTAGTCGCGTGATCGGAAGCAGGAATTATTAAATGACAATCTTTATTGTCGCGCATAGAGGTCGAGAGTCCATGCGTTAGCACGTGCGAATCGACAAGGCTTCCGCTTATTCAGCATGATTCAATCATATTTCATTCATTCTCGCAGCAGCGATTACATTCGCGAATACTCCCATAGCTTCGAAAAGTCGCATGATACCGGCTCGTAACAATGCTTTAAACACGTGTTTATGCCCAAAGTAATAAAACAAAAAAATATTTCCAAGTGAAGATAATACCGAAAATAAATAATATACATGTATTAGAAGAGAAGAAAGAATCGAATCATAAATATTTAAAAATTACTAATTGATACAAAAATACACATACATGTAAGTGCACATTTTTTTCAATAATAAAATAGAGAACCAAGAGAGAAATGTAAAAGTCAAAATTCTCTAATAAAATCAAAAGATGATATTAATATACATATCATAAGTTAATATAAACATAATTATACTAATATATTAATTAGTACTATATAAAAAATGTATCGAGAGACTTATTCGATACATCAAATGACAGTATAAGTCAATTATTACGGTTCGTCTCATATTGCAGAACGTGATCGGGGTTGTTCACATTCTTTACGCGTAATAAACACGCGCTTGCGACACGCGAGAACACACAAATACATATAGATACATGAGATCATCTGACAATTAAAATCGATGTGACAAGTTGCGAACGCGTGTTAGCGTTTCTATGTCAAATGCGATTGTCTATTGAAATTATGTAATATTATAACATAAATTAACTATTATATTTTTCTTTTAATATATACTATTAATATAATAATTAATTGTGCTACTTGAAAATTCAATTATTGAGTAATTCGCGCTATTCAAGTGGCTAATGCTGACCAACAAGCTAGTAATGTGAACAATCGAATGTAATTCAGTGACCTAGAAATAAAAGAATGGATATCGTTGCGTATAAAGATACGTACACACGTCCTTCAATAATTTGTCCTTCTACCATCACATGAGAAATATAATCAATTACTTTGATTAAAGATATATCTATCAAATAATCTAAAAACAACAATACTATTTTATTATCTTTTGAGATGAGAAAAAAAATCGATGGAGGAAAATTGCGTAGAAAACAAATAGGAATAGCACTTTTACATCTTACAGACATCGCATATTTTAAATACGTCAAGTGACCTTTTTCTTTGGCATTTCTGCCTTATACCTTTCGATTCGAGTAAATACAGATGGTCTCGAATATGTAGAAATATAGCTTATAAAGTTTGGAAAGCGTTTATTCGAATTCATGTATATAAGTGCGATGAATGTTTCAATGTACATAACGAAAATGATAACAGAGAAAAAATCATCGATGATGATGGTGATGATAACGACTCGATGTACCGACAGATTATATTATTTACAGAGAGATAATTTTTGTTAAATCAGCTTTAGTAAAAAAACACGAGTCACGAGACAAGAAACAATATATTACGGTTTTTTATTTTAATAATTATATAATTCTTATATCGTAAACAGAAATCTTTTTAATATTTATTAATAATAAAAATATTTCAGAGATATTATTGATGCATAGTAATTAATAAAGATATATCAAAGATATTATTAATGCATAGTTGAAAATTATATAATTAAATTATGATATAAGAAAAAATATAGTATTAAAGATAATTCTTTGTAAAACAATAAGATAAAAATCTGATAAATAATAATTCGTAAAAGATATTAAGAGAGAGAGATAGATGTAAATTATCCATCTCTCTCGCAATCTATTCATATAAAGATAATTTTTATTATATCTACAATCTCTTTAGATTCTAACAATAAAAGAGAGATGCGTAACATCTTCGGAATAAATTATAGCTATAATAAATCCCACATTAACCCACATCCTACATACCGTACATAAGTAAATTAAAAGCCATAAATAAAATAATAAATATTGCATTATGTTTAATAATTAATAATAATTTAAAAAATATTTTATAATACTGCATTTCAAAAAAATATTATTGCATTAAAATATTATTTTGTAAAATATTCTATGTATAATAATATCCTGCACAAATTTTCTGCGGCTCTTCAGTAAAAATTATGAATATATAAAAATTATGAATATATAAATAGCAAATTACCATAATTCTTTATCTTTTGATCACGGCTGTATCTTTCCACATAACTGATAATAATGAAAGAAACGTGACGATGAGAAATCCACGCGAGATAATAACGCGGCATCGAAAAATAAAAAAAATAGTGATTTCTCGTTCTATTAGTCAGCTGACGACGCGTCATCGCCGAGAAAGGATATGCGATCGTTGGGGAAAATATTCTAAGCGCCTGTTGTTACGCCGTTTGTGCAATATTTTCCTGAAGAAAAACCTGTTTTGATGATTCTATTTTAAATCATTTCCTGTTCTCGCGCAATTCGCGCTACCTGATAATTCATGTAAATACAAGCACTCACGTTCTTATCATCGTAACATCTAATCACGGGTAAACTGCGTGTGAATCACGCTAAAAAGTCAGGATTATACGAGTATAAAAATATATTTATAATTTATGATTAAATCGCAATTCAATTGGTCTTCCGTAAAAAAAACATCGTAAAGCAAAGTTTCAACTTCGCACAAAATAAAATATTTCAGAAGCGTATAAAAAATCCAAGTGAATAATATTGTATACAAGATAAAGTTAGATAAGATAAAAGTTTATGCATCAATATTGTTCATGTATCGCAAATTTAATAAGATAATTTAAAAAATGAATAATCTATCAAATAAACAGATGGGATATTAAAAGTCACACGTGTGTCGGGGTGGATTTAAAAAAAATGATGTTCTATATAATTAACTTTCACATTTGCAAGAAAAAAGGAGCAAATCTCCTTTGTACTGTACTGCATCGAATTTCTATTCCTTACTTTTACTGCAATACATCGATCATCGGAAAGCTAAAAGAGCACAATGATGGCAAGACTATTCCGCAGAAAAATAACTAATTATGATACGATGACGCATGTACATTCAACAACGCGCACCTGCTTGTACTTTACGCAAGTTCGAATATGCCATAAAAGCTGAATATTGCCTATTACAACGTAAAAAATAAAACACGACAACCGCATTCAATAGGCAGTTATCAGCTCGATATACCCCCTATGTATGTCCAACAAATACATATGTAAAATGAATTGGTGAGATCATTTTTTTAACAGTCTACAATAAGATTATAAAATATTGCTAAATGCGTAGTATCTATTGTAAAAAATATGTTTTCGTGGTGTAACTCTATTATTAAAATAAAACGTTCAAAACATCAATATTATGCAGGTACTTCTTATACATATATGATACATTAATCATTATATTTTATAACCATCCACACGTAAGTGTGGCCTTCCAAGTCAGGTCGTCAATATGTATTCAACATTCGATTGTGTATTGCAGTGCCTGCACGCCTTGTGAGCGTGTGTCAGACACTTTCTAGGCATGAACGGACGCGACGTAAACACACGTGAGAGCGGACGCCAACGACGACGAATCCAACAGGTGGACCCACTCGGATAAATTCCACGCGAATGCCACGGATTCTTTCGATACAGGCGCGTCGTCTCTCGAGACTTTCGAAGCCGAAGAAGACGCGATTAACGCAATTTACGTTTGCCTTAACGTACATTAATCGCTGTCGAGAGATTTATCTGAATATGTATTTTTCACACATATTTTTCATATGTAAAAATATACAGCTGAAAAAATGTAGATAACAATCTCATAGAAAAAAATTATTCTGATTTATATTAAATATTTTAAAATAAAAATAAAAAGAGAGGAAAAATATGCAATATTTATTTTTATATATTACTGTAAATTTTAGTAAATTGAAAAGTTTTTTCTTAATAGATTGATTTGTAAAGGTGAGATAATTATATATTCGATATCTCTCTTTTGTAATTATGATGTTACTTCTTCATATTTATATTTTCATTTCGAGAATTTCAATATACGCGTATATTTATATTTATTACAAAATAATGATCAGTGATTTCAAAACAAGTTGTTTAATGACGCCCATTACTCTCGTGTGTACGATTCAAATTTCATAATTTATTGTACATACCATACATCGTATACAAATTGCGTATTTATTTCGTATAATTAAATAACTATTCTTTATTCACAATAATCATTCTACATAAAAAGTATCTTAACTTTAGAAATATCAGTCTTCTCCAGTTGTATATATACACATCAACGAACTTGCATATTCATAAATTCCGTAATTCACAAAAAATCAAAATGAAAAAATAAGAATAAAATACATATTCCATAAGTATTTAAATCATGAAAATTATTAAAAATTTAAATCGTGAAAAATAGCGATATATTTACGTAATAAAAATCACGAGTTATCGTCACTTCTAGAGTTAAGATACGAAGAGCAAAAGAGAGAGAAAAAGCAGAAGCAATCTTACTTCGTCGACGGAGCAGTTACTGCCATCGGAGCGATCCTCCACGCTGTTGGGATTCCTCTCCGGCGTCTTGATCACCTTGATGTTGGGCATGGCGCCCTTGATGATGATGTTGTTCTCCCTGAAGTAATCGTCGGCCTCCTGGTCGACCACCAGCAGTTTCGTCTCGTTTGCGAACGCCTTGATGCGCTCGACCACCTGATTGTGGGTCTCGTTCGCGATGTCGATCTCGTTCACCTCGATTATCCGGTCGCCCTGACGTAGACCGGCCGCCTGACTCGGCGAGCCGTCGTCCACCTTGCCGATAAACTGACCGTTCTTGCCCTTCTGCGCGTGCAGATTGAAACCGTAGCCGGGGAAGTCGTCCCACTTGACGATGTGGCAGAGCCGGGCACACGGCGATTTACTGTCCTTCAGAGAGGACATCACGTCGGATCTCGAGCCTCGACCAGAGAGAGGAGGCGAGAGTCGAGAGAAAGAGAGAGAGAGGAAACAAGGGAATAAAATAGGAAAAAAAAAAGAAAACAATGCCGGAGTACGCGGCGCGGAATCTCGGATCGAACACACACCGCACCGCGCCGAGGTACGCGCGAAACGCGAGTCACGCGCGAGCCGAACCGAGGAGAGACGAGGAACGAACACCACGACGAGACGGACGCGCGCGCACGTATGACGCGACGAGCGCTGCGTGCCGCGCCGCGCCGCGGTCGCCGCGAGCGGGCGCGAGCGGAGCCGAAGAGGCCCGAACTCCGTCGGGCCCGCCGGCCGCCCGACGACCGCCGAGTCCGCCCGATGTTTCCCGACTCGTCCGCCCGCCTTCGCTGGAATTGGCGCGCAAAATATTATCACGGAATATTCGACTAGATGAGCGAATTTTTTCGCCGAATGCGACGAAATTATCGAGGTTTCTCCGCAACTCGCTGTTGTTCTCACTGGACAATTTCAATTGAAGATGATGAGTATTTTCAGCTTTGTCGGTTGATGCTTTCTTGATTGTCGATTTGCATCTTGCGAGTTACACAAAGATCACTTTATACATACACTGATTTGCGTGTGCATTATAATCGCGATTGTTACGAGACGAAGGCTAGACCCGTTCAACGCGGTCTTGAACACGATACCGAAAGAATGCACGCAAAAAACACTCACGCGAGAACGACTTACCGAACCGGAAAAGTGACTACTGTAACATGAAAGTGAAGTAGGCTACTGTAAACTATCAACATAGCGACACCTAGTGGCAGATGCGCGAAGCTTTGTGTGCTTCGTGATTGATTATATATTATTGATTGGTAAGTAGATTACATTGAATGATATAAATCGATAGGAAGAAGATTAAAATAATTATTGAAATAAAATAATACACAATTTATGAAATTCGAATAAAATGCATTATACTTCGTGGTCCTTATTTTTTACAACTTTGTATTAGATGTGATATAACTTTAAATATTTTATATTTTTCTATTTATATAAATAGAAAATAAATGTTATTTGATCCAAAATGTAATTAAATAACTCGCATTACATATATCTATAAATAATGAAATAAATAATTCGACTCACATTTTGATTATATTTCTCCTCCGATGTCGATGTACTTTGGATTCCTCGCCGGCACTATTTTTTCTATAAAAAACCAACCTCGGGAATTATTCTGAAAAGCTTCGAAACACTTGCACTCGCGTTACTTTTTTTTTTGTTTCGAGAAAACGCGAGAAGAAAATATAGCGGCGCGATTGACCTTGCAGTCGACCAGCGAATTGTGCGAAAATTACGAGATAATTCATCGCGTAACAATACTTGGACACGATGACCCGAAAATACAACCGGAAACACGCATTCGTCCGCTTAGAATACAATCGACAACGGTGAAAAACCGCAGAAATTCGCGTCAAAAGCACGACCGGTAATTCTCGCGATCCGTCTCCCGAAACTTTCGGCGGTTCTTGAGTTGTTGCAGAATTGAATCAACCAATTAGAGACCGAGGATTTCTTCGTCCTGATTGGTCGACCATGACTTGATCGACTAATCGCAGACCGCAAATCTCGTCGTCCTGATTGGTCGACCGAAATTTGTCCACCAATCGGAGACCGAGGATCTCCGTCCTGATTGGTCAAGCAGCGCTTCGCTCTAATCGAATACATTTCCGAACGCAATCTAGATTGCTGCTGCCCTCTGGGTCACTTTCGTATTGTTGCTCACAATCAACGGTCGTGTTTGTTGTCGGTCCGCGAAAATACGAGAGTGTAAGTATTAATTAGTATCTTTACGCCGTTAATTATTGTATAAATCTGATCGCGTCGCGTGTCCCGATATCGTGCTCGCGATCGTACGAGCGAGATTGATCTCGTCGACCGCGAATCGCGTTCTCTCGCCTTCTCTCACATTCTTTCGAAAAGTCGCGTGACGTCACGGCTCTCACCCGGCTCGAGCCCCCTAAAGTTGGCCGAGTTCACGCGAGTCTACTAGACGCAGCGAATTACCGGGTGCGCTTTCCACGCGAAAATCGCCGGATTTTTCGGTGTTGTCGCTCGTAATGTGAACGAGAGATTGCGCGTTTCCGGTCTTACTTCCGCATCATCGTGTCGAAATATCGGTACGCGATGAATGAACTCGTAATTCTCGCAAAATTCGCTGCTTGGCTGCAAGTATAGTCGCGCCGCCATGTTGCTATTATATCTTGTTTATTATCGTCCGTTGCTCGTCTCTACCAATGTCTCGCAAAAAGTCAGAGTCTAGTCGGAAATATTAGTTAAGAACGAAAAGTACGTATTAGATTCACCGTGTATTATCGACGATCGCGAGTGTATACAGTGCTCGGAAAATGCTCTTTGTTTTATCTAGCCGGCCGGATTCTCGGAATCGCGTCGAGCGCAAGCGTCCGGGTGTTCTCGGAATTGCCGATTCGAGATCTTTATCTATCCAAAGTTTCGACGATCTTCGACGTTGAAATACGATACGCGCTCGACGCGGAATAATCAGTGAAATAATCTGCGCGATTTCTTCGTCGTCAAATACTCTCTGTGAAATATAAAATAGTGAAGTGTGAAGTGTGGTGAACGCGAAAACGGATCGGTTTTATTCGCGCGCGAATATGCTCTCGCGATTCTCGCGTTTTACCGAAACGAAAATGTGATAATTAAAACCCGGGCGTCGCCGCGAACGAAAAAAATGAAACGCGAGTGCAAGCGTTTTGAAGCTTTCACTAGGATAATTCCTGAGGTTGGCTTCCTACAGGAAAAATGGAGCCGGCGAGAAGTCCAGAATACGTCGAGACCGGAGAAGAAAAATAATCGAAATGTGAGTCGAATTATTTGTTTGATTATTTATCGATGTATAGCGATAGAAAAGTATACGCCTAAGTATTGACCGGATTTCGTGTCTCAGTATAGCACGTTTACAATTTACAATATTGTGTAGTTTTGGGTGTAAAATGCGAATCCACACTGAAAATAGAATTATTAAATTAATAAATAATTATCTGTTTTTGAAAAAAATTTTTTATATTTCAAGTAAATATTTTTCATATCAAATCAATATTATTAGTTTTAAATTAATGATTTATAAAAGGCAGTTTTCAAATAAATATTCGAATTCAATAAATTTTTGTTTAATATATAAATTAAAATTCGTCCTCTTTACGGGAGTGGGGAATACGGAATTTATTATAACTTTTTTCTTTTTGAGAGCAACTATTTTAATTTCCAAATTTCTAGTTTTACGTATAAAAATACAAAATATTGTAAAGTCTCGGCAAATTCAAAGAGGACAAAGTTCTCTTTTAGTATCAAGAGATCACCGAAAAAATTTTATTCTTATCTTAAGTATATGCCTCTTATCTTTATATCTTCCTTTAAATAGATGCCAAAAGGATCCTCTTAAGAGGAAAATTTTCTAAAGAAATATTCTTATTAAATATTCCTAACATGCAAGAATATATATATTTAATGGGATATTTTTTTTATCAGTGTATTAGAAATTAAAGAATATATTCTTAATTAAAGAGGATATTCCCAAAAGCATCATATCAAAAGGAAATCCTTATCCTTATTCATTAAGAATATATCTATTAAAAGGACTTATATTATAAAATATGCATTTTAAGAAAAGAATTTTTTCAGTGATGTAATGTTGGCATTAAATTTAAAAAACTTAGAAATAAATAAACAAAAATTATAAGCAAAATTATAAAAAAAGAGAAATTATAAAAAATTAGTTATGATTTCCCTTCCGCTTATATGAAACTTCCATCGAAATTAAATATAAAAGACATACAACAATATCATTATCTAATAAGCGTTCCTTAATGCGAGTTTTGCGATTAATTCCTACGTGTCTCCGCTGAATATGCTAATTACCTTTTTTACGGAATACAAGAAGGCAATTGATGTTGATCTGAGCGTTGACAAGAGCGTGATGCAACCGCGCTGGCGTAACAATAATGACGATTTGAGGAAACATGAATGCATGTATCACGATAAAAGGCGACATCCCGATTGTCGATTATAAAATCCGCATAAACCCACGATAAAACGACGCGATCTCGCTAATAAAAGTATAGGCGCGCGAAAAAGTTCTTTAGAGCGCGAACTCGGTAATTAGGCGGCAAAGTTAATGATGTGATTGTATAAACCGGTATAAACCTATATCTTCGGATTATCATATCATTAAGGACGACACAACATTTTGACATACATATTTCATAGTTGACGAAAGAAAAAGACAAGATTGAATTTTATTACACATACGTTTTATAATTTATATTTTATATTAAAATAGTGAATCCGTATTTGTATAAATTCTTCAGATTTTTATTATGATATATATGGCATATAATTGAATTGAAACTAAATATATTTCTTTAAATGCAAATTAAAAATTGAAGAAATCAAAAATATACGTACCTACACTAAAAACAAATTTATTGAATTTGAATAAATATTTATTTCAATATTGCCTAATAAATTATTTATTTGAAATTATTAATATTGATTGATTATTGATGTGAAAAATATTTATTAATTTAATAATTTTTCTTTCAGTGTATAATATATATACAGGGTGTCCCATAGGAAATTGCTGGAACTAATTAGCTGTCATTTTTAATGTATGCAGTTATTGAGAAAACAAAAATTGTGTTGGACAGAGGAAAGTCTGCAGTTTTTAATGAATATAAATAAAATATTTGTATAATAGTTTATTTTATTGATATAAAAAGTAATGAAAAAAGTGCTAATAATTACATGAAATCACATAAATTAATGATATTGTTGTCAACAGTGCCAGATTTAATAGCAGCTATTAAAAGAATCATCGATAACATTAAAAATGACATATGTTAGAAAAAGTTTTTACGAGTTTTCGTAAAAGAACAGAATTTTGTACCAATTCAAATGGTGCGCACTTCGAAAAGATTTGTCATTAGTTTACATACGTGATTATTAGCACTTTTTTCATTACTTTTTTTCAATAAAAATAAACTGATACAAACATTTTATTTATATATCCATTAAAAATTGCATGCAGACTTTCCTCTTTTTAACACAATTTTTGTTTTCTCAATAACTGCATGCATTAAAAGATGACAGCTGATCAGTTTCAGCAATTTTCTATGGGACACCCTGTATAATAGAATTGTAATTATTTTTATTTTAATGAATACATCTTAATTCGAAGTAGCTATTTACTGAGAAAAATTGACGTGTTGATGTCAATCGAATAAGCCGACCATATATGTTGAAGTCCCTATTAAATGATTACGAAATGGCAAGCACAATGATGCACGGCAATTATGGTATACGGCAGCTATCACCTCGCCACTTCCGTTCTTCGGCAATCCTTGTGGGCAATTGTACGTTGTAATAAAACGTAATAAAACCGCTTAACACAATTTAAGTAACCTTAATCATTTCTTCGGATAGTTTCTCTCCGCAAACGCAACAGGCACAAAAGCCTAAATGACATTTCGCAGATTAGTCTAACTGCATTTTCATAGACGCTATAATAGGTCGCAAAAAAATAATCAATCACACGTTACCATCGCGAATCTCAGAATTAATTCGATATAATGTAATTAAATTCTAAAGTATAATATTTCAGGAATTTACTATTTTTATCACAATTAAAAAAAATTAAATTAAATATTAAATTTAATATTATCATTTCAATAATGATTTACTTAAAATCAACAGTTTATTTTTGTCTATCTCGACACCTGAGTTATAATGATCGATCTTGCTGGACAACGTCTTGGTGCATTAAATAGCAAACTTTATGCGTGCATTCATATCTTAACGATGACGAATCATAATGGGCGGCTGCGTGTTATGCTTATTCGCGTTTAAGACTCGCCAATCGCATATATGCATACGATATCTTCTCTTTCAAGTATAAAGAATACTTTGTGAGAACTTTAATCTCGCGAGTTTTATCGAAACTTATAATGTTGCTGCTATTTTTAAATATAATTTTTTAATGAAGTTCAATAAAAAATAATTCGTTGAGATATTTTGTGCCCACTAAAATATAATTGCTATATACAAACTTGTATTTTTATTAAAAATGATTTTGAATATTTATTATTTAGACTTCAAATATTAAGAAAGTTTTTTCATTAAAAATCGATTAACTGCGTATTATTCTTGTCATCGCGCTTTTCAACAAAGTTAATCACTTTACGACAAGAATTCCAGATATACGTATACATAAAGTTTTTCTCACTCATTGTATACCGTCTTATCTCCATGTGGAGATCTCAGGCTGAAAATGGTTAATTAACATTTCATTCAGGATATGATTAATTAAATATACGAGAATCAAACGGGAAATCTCCTTTAAATAGGAAGGCCACAGCTATGAAATTAAAACTCATATATGTATGTACGTTTTTTAATGTTGCAGTCATTGTTGCCAGAGCATGGCCCTATGTAAAATCTAGCAAATTACTATAAAAATTGAAGTCTTTTAAAAAGCTAATTTTAAGTCTCCCTCACGTTTGACTTAACAATCCACACCTGGCATGCAAATCATCCGTATTCATGTTCGAAAATACCATATATGATTGTCGCCATGCTTAATAAATATAGAATGTAAACATGAACGTCTCTCTTTCTCGTCTCAAAATTATTTCATCAGTTTCTCTCTCTATTATTTTTTTACACAAAGATGTCCTTCATAGAAATCGAAGAGGAGAGGGGCACAATGTTAGCTCCCCTCTACTTTAGAAGAGTGACTGAATTCCAAAGGCTCCCTTTCTCGTTCTAATTTCGGCACAGCGCCCGACGCGTAGCTGCGCAGCGCACGTCCCTGAGTCCTCGCGCATGCGCGCGCTCGCTTGCCGACGTTGGCGAGTGGCGAGTTCGGTTTGCCTCGCGGAGTCGGGCGGCCGCGAGCGAACGAAGCGGATGTTGACGCCGCGTGTTTATTATTGTGATGCGTGAACGTTAGTTTGTGACGCGTCGCGCGTCGTCGTCGCACGACAAGAAACAACGGCATATACAGTGCTGCGCGATTCTTCACCTGACGAACGGATACGCGGAATTTCGTGACCCCGAGGCAGTTTTTCGAGATGTGGAGTCCGACGCACGTCCAAGTGACAGGTAGGCACGAGCAATATCGCGCGAGCGGCGTGAAACGACGCCCCCTTTTTTCGACAGATACGCTCGAACGCACGCGGATGCATCGCGGTATATTTACCGTAATAAACACGAGCAAGAGTATGCATGTATATATGGATGTGCGTGAGGTGAGGTTACGTGTCCTCGCTCGGGAAACTAGGCGAAACCTCTCTCGTGTCTCGTCGCGCAGGAATGTACCCGCTATTGTACGAGCCCCGCGAATGCTATTTCCTATTCGTCATGCATTCATCATCGCGGATATAGCACGTTGGATGTTTATCAAGCATGCTTGTCATAAATTGAATTTCATAGAAACTAAACAGATAAAATTATTACATGCGATTTTGTTTAAAGAAAAACACACGTGTTTTCTAAATCTCTTTTATAAAAGGATGGGAATTAAATATTGGAGAGACTATTTCAGCCTTGCGGCCTTCTTAAGATTATAATCTTATCAATGACAATGTTAGATGGATTTCAAGGTTTCGCGTGTCTGAATGTATATCATATGAGAAAATACGAGATAATTTTATTTTGTAAACTGCACACAAAAAGAATTATGAAAATTTTTAAAGAAATACCTTCGAAATCTTTATGATAGATACAAATAATAAATTATTAGAATTTTTAATCTTTTGTGTTCCTTGTAAAAATATTATAAATCTTATTAAAATGACAATTCTTTATGAAATGTAATTGATAAATGCTTCTTTATGAAATATCTTATCAATATATTGATATTAACGATTGATTTTAAATTTGTATGGCAATGCTAAGATGTGTCATGAGAAAGTGTTTCGAGATATTGACTTATTGTCCTCGTTATCTGAAAAAGACATAGAGTGAAGCAGTGTAGCAGCACCCAAATAAACGATACAGCTCTGACAATGAGGTGTGTTATTGTGTCATCGTATGGCAACGTGTATTTAAGTCGAGAAACTGACTAAGAATATTATATGGTTACACGAGAACGTCGGATTTGTAGCGATTGACTATCGAGTAAAAAATTTATTGACTTTTTATCAAGATAACCAATCAAAACATCATGCGACAAATATTTTGCGTATGAGCAATATCAGCCTGAGACTGCATTGTTTAAGAGTAATATGCCTTTTTCACAATGTGCGTATAGATGAAGACCTCAATTTCATTTTGTCACGCGACATAGTAATTTCTAAATTTCATAACGTATAATTTCTAAATCTTATATTTTTGCAGTTATAATTTTCTATAATTGCAAATTAACGTTATGCATGAGAAAAAATATATTTCTCAATGTATTTTTGATAAATTAATAGGATATATATATTTATTATTTAATTAAATTAAATTAAATTTGATTAAATTAAATTACATATAAATAACTACATAAATTAAAGTCCTTTATATTACAAATATAAAATAATGAGATAAAGTTAATTAAATATTTAACACTTATTATTTTTAAATATTTTAAAAATTTTTGAGTACATTTTTGCACTATTGATAATATAATTAATTGAATAATTTTATATTATTTTTATTTGCCTCTTTTGTTTTGATTTTTATCTCTCAATCACACTTTCTTCATTTATTGAGATTCGTAAAAAAATTTACGCACCTTCGTCTTTAATTTTTTTATATAGATTGTAACGATTTCTAGTAATGATTTCAATTAACTTCGACAAGTAATTAAATGCGATGCAATTATGTAAATTCATTAGTTTGCTATGGATATAGCTCACAGAAATATATTAATTTCACCTGTTAATATTTCTAGAGTAAATATTTCATTATTTTATTTAAAAGAGTTCATATTATATATCTATGTATATTCCAAATCTATACAATAAAAATTATTAATAGATATATCAAATATACTCTTGTTGACTATGATATATCCAGGATTGGGTAATAACTAGTTAATTAGTTAAAAGTTAATAACTTTTAACTTAGTTAACTTAGTTAATTTAAAATGTATTAATTTTTAACTTTAACTATAGTTATTTTTGACCTATTTATTAATTTTTTCCTGAGTTAAATTTTTTTATCTCTGAATACTAGTATTGCTTTTTATAACCGTACTTATAAACGTATTATTTTTAAATTAAAGTATTATTAATTTTTATGTTCATTTGTCATCAATTGTAATTATCAAAAATATATTTGTATATAAAAATCAAAATTTCTTTGTTATTTGTTATTATAAATTTTAAAAGAATTAACAAACAAAATTATCTTATTATTCTAATTTAATATAAATCGTGTTTTTAAAAATTAACTTTTGATTTAACTTTAGTTAATTTAATCTCAACTTGAACTGACAATGAGTGAGTTAATTTTTATTCATACAACTTTTAACTGAACTAAATTAATTTCATAAGCAACTATATAACTTTAACTTAATTTAGTTTTAAAAAATCATTAACTTACCCAACACCGGATATATCTAATTGGTGCATCGGTCTGTTATTCATATACTTATCGATTATATATGTATACCTATATATAACGTTGCAGTAAACACGTTTTATTATTTCTGTAAATTTTCTTTTCTTATCTTTTAGGCTTATTCAAATCTCTGAACGACTCATTTACATCTTTTTTTCTAACTTTCAATGTGCATTTTAAAGAGTCTTTAATTAGATTCCGGCATTCACACTGCGAAACTGATCGCAAGATAAGTCTTGTTACTGCTGGCTTAATTCGCGAAAGCGCGTGCTCGCGTTAGACAACTTGTCCTCTTAATTAACTTGCAGGAGACTTTTACCTTCGGGCGTTAACGGGTTCATCAAATCGAGAGTATCGCGGTCGAATCGCCTTTGATGTGTGTATCATGTGTACCTGATGCGAAGCCAGATGTTTGACATCTCTGTATGCTCGAGAATTTGATCGAAGCTGATACGAGAATCCGATTTGCCAGATCTTTTTATTAAAAAGATTTTTTTTTCTTTACGAAATTTAAGACGAAAGACGAAATAATGATATTTGTGCCCAACAAACTATATACACATAAAATATTTATGAGTTCTTTTTTCGTAATGCTTGAAGAATCATCGAGTGACAAGTTATCAATCTTTTTCGTATACCTCGATGCAAAATAGGCGACACGTGAAAGCATGTTTAGCGGTTTAGTGATGTTCCCCTTTCTGCCTCTAAAGTAAATCTTTAAGACTCACAATATTCAAATAAGAAAGAAACGATCTTCTAAGCTTATAGTCCTCAATTCTATTTTGCATTAATATTATTTGCACTTAATTTTAAATTATTTTAGATTTAGAATATTTTTGTAAAAATAAAATTAACGATACACTGAAAAAAATCCATGATACTTTTACATGGAAATTACTTGTTCAAAATTGGAAAAATTACTTATCACTAATTTTTCTTTCCATATTTTTTAAAGTGAAAATACATATTAATGTAAAAATATATGTAAAATATAGGTAAAATTATTTAATTATTTTTATGCAAAAATCACATGTAATTTTAAATTTACAATTAGTATATTTTTACTTTATTAAAATTTATTTTCCAAGCATTGATTTATTTTATTTATAACATTATTTTATAGCAATTATACATTACTAGCATTTGTTATGTATAATACCTTATTTAAATATTTTTTCAGTATGTAAAATATGAAGTAAAATATAAAATTAATTATCCGAATAAAATTCACAATCAAAAGTAAGATAGATCGATCGAACGTCATTTGATTGTTATATATGTTTACGGCTACGTTATTGAGATGCACAGAGCGAAAAATCATATTCCCATCAGAGTAAACGGTATTTGGCTGCGGCTTTGCATTGCGGTAAGGTACTCTTCGAATCCATCGACTCGACTCTGAGTGAGACCACAGAGGAGAATGCGCAACGAGAAAATCGGTTCCGCTGAGTCTCCTCGGTGTGCGAGAAATCGGGGAATACATATATGTATGTACCTCATCGTATCTCACACATTCATTACGGTTCATCGCCGTTGCACGTGTGAGAACGAGAAAATGCCTCCTACAGTTATTCGGTAACGCTTTACGTTAGAACTAACGGATTATAATTAGGAGAGACTGCGGGTTCTCTATCTTTTCGCTTCCTTCTTATTTAACGTAAAAAAAACTGTGTATTCTGTGATCGGTTTATGAATATAATTTGAATATCTGCAAAAAAAATTTGATTTTCTGAATCTGGAAATGAGAATGTGTCTTTTAAATCTATCAAGAAGATTTTTCATACTTTAAAACGAGCAATAAATTTGGTTCCCTTATATATTTCGCTTGTTTATTATCTTATAGATTATTTTAATATCAAAAATGTGCGAGCAATTAATTTTTTTAATTACTTTGATTTTGCGCGAGTGGATAATGCGACACGATGACACTTAGTGTATAGTAATATTTATTTTTCCAAAATATTTTTATGTTAGAGCAGTAGGTAGTAAATTCTAGCAAATGGATTTTTTTTATAAAACTAGCTTAATATCAAATTAGACCCTTTTCCTTCTTCCTTTTGAACTTATATTTCTACTAAATGGTTGAAGTAATAAATTCCGGACATCTAAAAATTATAATGTATAGTTAATTAACTACTTAATTAACAGATGCGATTTTATTTGACGATAGTAGAAGGGGGCTAGCTTAATGTGGATTATTAAATGACCTACGTGAAATTTCTCTCTTAATTACTATATAATTAATATTAAAGCTTTAAGTCATGATGCACCGCTTGTATACATCTCAATTAACTTTCAAATAATTTACAATTTACAAAAATCTCTCATTTGATTATTTTTAACAATATTATTTATCATTAATTTTATTAAACGATAATGAGAAATATAAAATACAAACTTTGTGTGAACACATACATAAATATATATGAATTATTTTATTGTAGATATATATCTAAATATAATTGATACTTTCTCTTCCCTCTCTTTTCACTCTACATTTAATATTATAATAATGTAATGCTAAAAAGATTAAACAACATAAAATTATGAAGATTGATTTTTTGGAATCACGAAATCAGTGTAATTAATACATATGCGATTATGCGCGAAAGCTATGACGTGAGATTTTCTCGCAAACACGCGGATCGAGGAAAGTCGATTAAAGAAAAAAGTGGACGTTAAAAAGAAATCTCTATTTTCACGGTGACTTATAGCTGCTTTTTACGCCATTAATACTTAAATTATAGCGCACGCAAAGGTGAATGGTTGTTGAATCTGCATTTTCTTGTGTATACCCGCTTATTTAGTTTCTTACGAACTGAGAGTATATTAATAAAGCTTGTAAACTGAAGGATTGATTGCGACAAAATAATTGTCCGGTCGGCGGGTTTATTTCGCAAAAGTGTACGTCGGAATGTAAACATTAGATAATACGAATCGTAATAATGCGTAAACAAAATATCATCTTACAAATACTTGTGTTGACTTTATTCCTTTTCATTTGTTGACAGTTCAGAGGGCCAAGGACTTACTAACCAAAGGGAAGCACAGTGAGTATTGTATTTTTTTAGTCCGATTGCACTAAAATTTTTCCCATTTTCATTAAAAAAATAAATAAATAAAAGACAAAAAAAATTTATTTAAAAACATTTGAATATCAATTGAATTTTAAATAAGATCTTTTCAAACTTGATATTGCTTCGATGTCTTATAAAATAATCTGTATAAAGTAATCTCAAGATTTCTCGATAATCCAGCTGTTCATTCTCTCTCCCTGTAGAAGACGATCTAAAAAATTTCTCAATAGACCAGCTGTCACTCATCTACGCGTGCACCGTCACGTTTCTTACTTACTTATGTACGTGTTACTACGCATGTTCACGTCGATACCGTACTCCGTGGTTATTTTAGATCATGAATCATCCGGTTTTATTAACATAACATTTGCAAAACAATGTAGAAATTTGTCATTATGTAAACAAACGCGTTATGTCAGCCTTGAATTTCGTCCAACGCGAATATACAATTCCTTTATCTCAGCAAAATCGAAATACGTAATACGATCTGGCGCAAAATTTCGAGTCAACGACGATTCTGTTGCCAATTAAGTAATAAACGTTGAATTTGGTGAAAAATAAATATTTTGATAAAAATTGAAAGACACGATACAGAAAAGAAAGAATAAAAATTTCACAACGTATACAATAGAATTATAAAAGCTTTTTGAAACAATCGATAAATGCAATTTTTATTTGTCAATTTTAAAGGAAATATATTTTAAAATATAAAACTGCAAATAGTAAAAATTGAAGAGTACACGTATGTACGTTTTAAATAACTTTATGCGATGTGAACGTATACATCTGTTTATCTTCATGATCTAACAATTAATATAATTGTGTCGGTGACGAGTTGATGACTTTTTCGACATGCGTCCTCAATACTGTCATAACATTACTACGACCTGCAACATAAAGTAGACGAAGTACTGTTAATGAAAGAATGTACATTATTGCAAAACTTGCAATTAATGACGAGTTTGCATTTGTGAAAATATACGAATTAAAAGCGTCATCGTACATTATTCAATGTAGAAATTACACTTCCTCATCCACACAAACGAAAATATCAAACTAAATATCTATATTTGTATATAATAATTTATTCGTAAATAATATGCAAACGTTAAAACAGCTTTCTCATCGAGAGAGAAAGTTGAAATTCAGATTGATTTTTTTTATTGAGTGAATATTATCAGTAAACTCTTTCGCAATAATGAAATTTCTGGTATCAAGAACAAATAATGCTCCTCGACCCTTTTCGGGTCAGACCTTCAATTCCCGTTACACATGTCTCGTTAATCTCCCGACCTTTTGACCGCCTACGCTCGAAACCATACGCCAAATTACGACTTGTATTGTATATTCAGAGACCAACGACTGCTTCGTAACGATCGCCCTCGGTAAGGAAAAGTACCAGACGTCGGTGAAGGAGAAGGCTATCAAGGACGTGGAATGGCACGAGGAATGCGAGCTACTCATACCAGAGCAAGGCAATACCGCGGAGATCGTCCTCACGGCCCTGCATCGCAATTTCCTGGGTGTCGACGAGTTCCTCGGCACCGTCAGCGTACCGCTGTCGAACTTCGACGTGTACGAGAGGCCTAGAAACAGATGGTGCGTCAACAGATAGCATATATAGTTAATTGCAAACTGCGTCTTATATGCAAATTTATCTGACCTATGGAAAAAAAAATCGCTCGGGAAAGAGAAATCGCTGCGTCTCGTTATCGCTATCTCATTAATCGCCTGCATTTCTCTTGTTATTAATACATGTACAGCAATACATTTTAACATACTTGAATATTCGAGCACTTTTTTGTAGAGTTCTTCGTATTTATTTTATATGATTTTCTATATTTTTTTCATAATTTATTTATGTCTATTCTTTGTATTTAATTTTTTTTCAAGTCAATTTATATCAAATTATTTTATAAATTTTTATATCATATATGTATGATTAACAAATATAAAAGTCTTAATAATCAATGATATTAAATTATGCAAAATATATTTTACAAAAGTACATATATATTATTTATTAAATAAAATTATGAGAGAATACATAAATGCGTTTGTATTATAGGTACGCTCTTAACAGCAAACCGGGCAAAGAGAACACAAAGGAAAGAGGCGAGCTCGAAGTGAGGATCGGCTTCATTGTGAAGGCTGGAAGTTTGACTGATCTAAGTAAGAAGGAGCGTCACAAAAGTTCCTTAGGCCAGTTATCTACAGCTGCGCAATCAATCGGCGGTAGTTTACTCAGTATCGGTAGTCTCGAGAAACGCAAAGGTCTCAAGAAATTGGCCAAATCGATTGGAAACAAGGTCAAAGGGAAAAGCAAAAATCGTCTCGACGGAAACAATCTGGATGAAAAAGAAGAACACCAGTTGAAAATCACACGGCAAGAACCGGGTGAGGCTGATCCTGGTGTCATCAGCGAGGATGAAGACGAATTTACGGTAAGTGGCAGGAAGCATACATATGTATATCTCGATTCTAACATTATTATATTTTATTTAAAGTTAATATTATATTTTATTTATAATTATACTATTATATTAACTTTGATAAGGATTAATTATTTTTATTATCTCTTTTTACTTTAAATACAATTATAGAAATATATAAGAAAAAAAGCATATGTAAAGAGCAGAAAATAAAGGAGAAATTTTTGTAATAAATTTAAATAAATTTAATGGATCTGTATATCTGTGATAATTAAAAATAAGATAATTTAATTTGTTATAGTTTGACGATCTGTCTCATAAAAGCTCGGCCTCGTCGCTAAACGCACCCATGCCAGGCACGAATAGCGGTAACAATGGAATTCCGAATGGTTCTCAGAGCAATGTCTCCAGCGAGTTGCACGTACCACCGGCGCCAATTAACGCCGCGCCAAGCAAACCACCACGATTTGTCATGAGCGCGTCTACTACGAATCTGTCAAAGGTCGACAATTTGACGAAGGACGACGAGTGGGGCTTGAAGCTCTATGGCAAACAAGCGGGCGGCGTACCTAAAAGGTAAAGTCATATTTATTATCGTGAGAGAAAAAAAATTAGAAAAAATAGGAACGACTGCGCTTAATGATAAAATTGTTACACGCGAATATAATATAGAATAATATAGAAAAATATAGAATACATTTATTTGTGAATAAAATATATAGGAAATAATAAAATAATATTACGTGTTTTGTGCGTAGATGGGAAACTAAACCTAAAATCGTGGTGGACGAACCGCAAAATAACAAACGCGATGCATCGCCTATTCGTTCATCATCACCAGCCGCATCGAGGTTGAAAGATCCTCCGGAACCGCTCAGTCCTGCGCCGAGAGAAATCCTTCATCCAAAGAACAAGGACGACAAGTTCGCAAGCAAAGAGAAGCTCTTTACGAGCAAAGAGAAGCTCACGAGGGAAGACAAGAAGGATAAAAAGGACGACAAACATAGTCCGCGAAGTCCTAAGGAGGACAAGTATGTAAAGAAGGACAAGAAAAAAGATAATAAGGAGAATAAATTTAAGGACGTTAATAACGAGAATCATCTGTCTTCCGAAAGAATCATTATTGGTGGCGAAGACGCGGTTAAGAATGCTGTAAACTTTAAGAGTCGTTTGCCGCATGAGGTTCTTAATCAGTTTGAAGGGAAATCAAGAGAGGTAAATATATCTCGATATAGAAACACATTTTTTAAAATTAATTTATTAATTAAAATTTTATTTTTTTATATTGGATTGGAATATAATTTTTTTTCACCAGACAAATATATTTCATGTTTTTTTCAAAACATTTTCTTTACAGGATATAATAGAATTTGCGTTACAATTGCAAGGACAAATCACAGAAAAGAATAAGAGACTCACTGATCTGGAAGATTATATCGATGCGTTGCTATTACGCGTGATCGAAAGTTCGCCTCGATTACTTCAGAATCCGTATCAGAGGCGACTGTCATCTCCCGGAAATCAGTAAATCACTAATCCTTGATAATAAAGCTTTCCTGTTTCCTGTTTTGGGATCCACTTAAGGTATATTTCCTTTGATACCTTAGTGATACTTTCTTTAGATATGACTGACGAGTCGTAAATGGCTATTTGTTATATTAACATCGTATTTTAATTTATCTTTTCTTCTGAGCTACGGCCTAAGAAAAGTATATAACGTCCTCACAGCAGCGTTGCACACAAAAGAAATTTGTTTTCCCGTTTATTTATTTATAATTTATATTTAACCCCGCGAAAATAATTAAGACATAAATAAGAGATAATAAAAAAAAAGATAAATAAGTAATTTATTCCAAGTTCGAGTTACATTATCGAGACGAACAATTAACAGGGTGTGGATGCCAGTTAAAATGACTTCAAATTTGTCCCATGATTCTCTGTCTTCCCAGTATATTGAACCAAAACTGTCGCAGTTCGAGAGTTTGTATTTGATTGCGATTGAGATTTCCGTCCAATTGACAATTTGCAGGAAAACTAACGAACACGACTATATTTCTTTATTGCTACCTGTTATTGTAAGCTATCTATTTAAGAACTTTTTCTAAGGCAAATAAGACTTCTCATAGAGCTAATAAAGAATATAGAAGCTAAAATTAGCATGAGCCAATGTTTGACAAAAATGTGCCTTCTGTCTAACATATGTGCACTTATATTTGTTCGGACCATGCCTTGTTAGAGTATTGTTAAACAGAGAGATAATATTTCAATGTTCAATGTGTTATATATATAATGCAATAAATTTCAAATGTTCGGAATGTGTGACGCGATTTATTATTTTAATATTAAAATAACTAGTATATTATAAATAAGTTAGGTATTTTTTTATTTCTTTTTTGTGTATGTGTAATTATGCGCATGTTTTGATATTTTTATATTACTTAGCCATTAAATGTCATAAATTAATGAATATGATTGCGATTAATATTCCATCAAAAATATTTCAAATATTTCTCTACGCTAAATTATTAATTAATATACAAATTTTCAATATGATTTACAGTATTTTAAATATTTCGATGTTAAAATCAATATTACAATTATCGAATAATGAAACGCGTTGTTCGAATATTCCGATATTTCTCGCAATTGTTATTATTTGGAGTTGCATTTTACATATAAAAATTGCACTAGCATAATTTAATAAGCATTGCATACAGTATACGCGATATTTATTACAATAATGTATGTTCCCGAAATTTATTGAAATCTTACATCTTTCAATGTTGGATATATTCTATAATTAATTGAATAGATATACATATATTTTCTCTAATTAATTGGATAGATATGTTATTTTCTATAATTAATTGTATAGATATATATTATGTCTTCTATAAATATAAATATTTATAGTAGACATAAAAGATCAAAAGTTTGAATTTCCCGCCAAGCGAATATCTGATGTTTTTAGGTTAGTCAATAGACCTTTCTAGCATGTTCTTGCGACGCTGATGGCGCTCGGGATTCACGTAGCGTGATCGAAGGGTGTTCGACGTGATCCTCATCCGCGTGTCCCGTGTGCACGATTTAAAGATTAATCTGTCGTTACGAACACGCGACAATGACGGATGGCACCGGGAACGAAGATTCTGCTGTTTTTAATTCCATATCCGGTAAGATTTCGAGTCTACGAGTCTTTCGATGCATGACACCGGCCGCCAGAGGTTAGAATTGGTTAGAATTGTCACGGATTTTGAATTGCAAGCGGGTCTTTCGGACGAACTCGGGTTTTTTAACTCGCAAGTTTCCATTATTCGGGTTAATCTATTTCTGGTTCTGGCGAAAAATTTTGTAGAAGAAAAATCACGATCTGCGTTTGCATTATTCTTCATTATTGCCTTTATGTATATATACCATGTGTTCTTCATTTGTTATCTGGTTTTATAATTATATTTTTTTTTTTTTTTTTTTACTATGCCACAATAACGTAAAACATTTCTTATTTTTCTGACTGAAACTAATATATGTATATATTGCAGATCCTGGTAAAGCAAATACCAGCACAGCAGGTCCTGTAGTTTTGTATTCAACCGCACAAGCATGGCGAGCTCAATTCTATCGCAGTCTCCACCGCTCCAGTTTCTCGGAATCATCGGATGAGGAGGAAGATCTGTCCCAGTATCAATTCGAGGACGATCTCGAGTATCTCAGATCTCTTGATCCGAGGGACTGGAAGGATCAGGATCATTATGCTGTTTTAGGCTTGAAAAATCTTAGGCACAGAGCAACAGAAGATGTCATCAAAAAAGCTTGTATGTAAAGTATACTTTATAGAAAGAATATAGACGCAACACTAACAAATCAACATTGTTCATTACTTGAATGTATCCAAAATGTTGCAGATAAGCAAAAAATATTGAAACACCATCCTGATAAACGCAAGGCGATGGGCGAAGAGATCCGACCAGACGACGACTACTTCACGTGTATAACTCGTGCCTGGGAGACCCTCGGGAGTCAAGCGAAGAGACGAAGCTACGACAGTGTGGATCCTTATTTTGACGACAATTTACCGGACGAAAAAGATTGTCGGAATAATTTTTACGAAATCCTGGGTAAAGCTTTCAAGGAAAACTCACGGTGGTCCGTAAAGAAGCCAGTGCCATACTTGGGCGGACCATACATGGAACGAGAAAAAGTAGAGGAATTTTATTCGTTTGGTACGACTTTGATTCCTGGCGCGAATACTCATACCTCGATGAAGAAGATAAGGAGAGTGGTCAAGAGTAAGTATGATAATTGATAGTTTTCTTCAAAGGAAATTACAGAATTAGCAGCACTTACAAAACTTAATTAATTACAGCCGAGACATGCGGAAATGGATCGAGAAGAAGAACAAAGCCACGAGAGCGAAACGAAAAAAAGAAGAGATGTTGCGAATACGATCTTTAGTTGACATGGCTTACAATATAGATCCTAGAATAAAGAAATTCCAGCAAGAAGATAAAGATAAAAAGAACGCCGCAAAGAGAGCGAAACAGGAAGCGGCAAAGGCCAGGCAGCAGGAGGAAGAGAGAATAGCCCGCGATGCGGCGGAAAAGGAAAGATTGGAGAAGGAAAAGAAGGAATCTGAAGAGAGAGCGAGACAGGAGACGCTGAAACAGGAACGAGAGATGCAGAAAAAGGCATTGCGCAAGGAGAGAAAAGCGCTCAGAGATTTCTGCAAAGCGAACAATTACTTCGCTCAAAATTCGACGGAGAGTCTCCGGCATATGGAAAGCGTGGAGAAGATTTGCGAGCTGTTTAAGCTAGTGCAGCTGGAGGAAGCGATGAAGAAGTTGCAGAACGACGGGAGGAATGCCTTTTTAAGCATTATCGAAGAGATGGAACGGAGAATCGAGGCGGAACGTCGTGTGAATGTGATTAATAACGATGCGAAAAACATGCCCGAGAAGCAGACCAAGACCTGCACCGCGCCCTGGAGCGAGAATGACCTGCAACTCTTGATAAAAGCGGTCAATCTGTTCCCCGCCGGGACCAATCAACGTTGGGAAGTGGTTGCGAATTTTATTAATCAACATAGTGGTTCTACTAGCGGAGTTACTCGCGACGCCAAGGAAGTCTTAGCAAAAGCCAAAAGTCTGCAATCGACTGACTTTAGCAAATCGAGTTTGAAGGAGCAAGCCAATAAAAAGGCCTTTGATAATTTTATCGCCGAGAAAAAGAGTAAGGAGGCAGTTGAGGAGAGAATGCCGGCTGTTACGGAACGCTTGGATCATCCAATCGCGAACGGTGTCACCGCTGAACCTAAAGAGGTAAAAAAGGAAATGACACCGTGGACACCGGGTGAACAGAAACTTCTCGAACAAGCTCTAAAAACCTATCCCACCACGGTCTCTGACAGATGGGACCAGATCGCCGCGTGTATACCGAGCAGGACGAAAAAGGAGTGCATGAGGAGATATAAGGTAAATATTGAAAATTGAATTGTTATATAAAATAACATTAAAATCATATGTTGTAACATAAACCATTAAGAAATATCTTTTTTAAAGTAAAAGTCAAAAATGGGTAATTTCTTTTGATAATATATTTAAATTAAATATTATATATAATTTATTTATTTTATTATTAATTATAATATAATTAATTTAATTTAAAGAAAATTGTGTCAACATATGCAACGATCAAATTTCAAATCGTAATAACACGTGTTGTTAGACTACACGCTCATTTCTCTTTGCAGGAACTAGTAGAGCTCGTGAAAGCAAAGAAGGCGGCGCAGGTGGCTAAATAATATTAACTGCACCCTAAGCTCGAAATTTATCTCTAACTTATTGAACTCTAGTTAAACAAGCAATTTTGGCGCGGCGATGACGTCGTTCCTTGAGACAAGGATTTCTCCTAACACAGGGATGGAGGATTTCCTTTCGAGAAATATAATCGAAATTTAAGACTGGACGACGAGAACCTTAGCTTACTCATTGAGTACCAGTTCGCGTGTATACCTGTGCCTTGCTACAGCCGATACGTGCACGAGTTAGCTGCACGGCATACACAGAAATTTGACACGTTTTGTTGGATAAATTCTGGGGTTTGTTTTAATTCCTAACGCGTTGTACTTGTAATGTACCTTTAGAAAATTGTGCTGCTGCCGATCATTATTTCCGTGGTGATAAAACTTACAACTTGGGAAGATCTCTCGTGTACAGCTTCCATTTTTGCAATATGAATCTTTGTGGACGATCTATACTTCGTGCTGTAAGTACTGTAAGATAAGGAGAAACTGCTACTGGACAAATGGCTGAAGGAGGATGGCGAACTTTATAAATAAACGTCGATGTTTTGAAAGACGCCCGTTGGATACTTGGCATCTTGCGAATGAAACCATTCTTGCAGTTCCGTGAGTACTCCTATCCTGACAATACATATATACATCAATTTTTCCTCATCCCATATTTGAAGAAACGTTTTGAACGAACAAAATATTATTAAATTTGAAAAATATATTGCTGGTCTGTTTAAAAGCGGCGATAATTTTTCGCGCTTTTTACTTAATTCTTGAAATATTACAATTTCACCTTTCCTTCCTATTTTACGTCAAAAAATATTAAATTTGAAAAATATATTACTGGTTTGTTTAAAAGCTGCGATAATTTTTCGCGCTTTTTCCTTAATCCCTGAAATATTACAATTTTACCCTTTCTATTTTACGTCGAAAAATATATTTGAAAATATATTACTGATCTGTTTTAAAAGCGGCGATAATTTTTCGCGCTTTTTCCTTAATCCCTGAAATATTACAATTTTACGTCGAAAAATATTAAATTTGGGAAATGTATTACTGATCTGTTTTAAAAGCAGCAATAATTTTTGCGCTTTTTCTTAATTCCTGAAATATCATAATTTTACCCTTTCTATTTTACATCGAAAAATATTAAATTTGAAAAATATATTACTGATCTGTTTTAAGAGCGGCGATAATTTTTCGCGCTTTTCCCTTAATTCTTGAAATATTATAATTTTACATTTCTTATAAATTTACGTCGAAATGACGTCTGAACTGTTTAATTTGACGAATATTGTTATGAATGACTTCTTAACTGTTATCTCTCTCCGAGAGCTACTATAGAAAAAAATATTTTTCGCGGATGATACGTGATATGAAAGGATTTCGTGAAGAAATATCGTTTCAGTCACCGTTCAATTTTATTGACCTATTTTTCTCATTGCATACTTCAACATTCCAAGTTTATAATAATCCATATTGAAACACACGGCGTTACGCATCGCTATAAACTTACGAGTGGCGAAATATAATTAAGACGACAAGTGTCCATTGACAAATTCGCAGTGTGTTTAACTAAAATCTAATTGGGGTAGACGAATATAATTATTGTGCATTTTGTTCTGTTAGCACTAAACCTATCGAGAGATTCGCGTCTTTTTTTCGTACCCGGCATATTATCACTCTATTATTTATTACAATTAATATATATTAATCTTCGACTGTATTAATATTAATTCTCGGCTATATTAATACCAATTTTATATTTCGAACGGATCATGTACAACAAATGTATCGAGAAATGATCTTGATACAAAGTAGAAATATGCGATTGGTCCTGCTGAATCCTGCGTCCTCGAATCTTACTACGCGTTTTAAGAAGACACACATATAAATATATCTATATATTTATACATTATATTCTAGAGCAAGCGAAAAATATTTTACGGGTAAATTCTTCAAGAAATTTCGCGTATTGACTTTCTTTTGAAGTTTCTCCCCCGACTGACTAGTCAGTCTTCTTCCAGTCGCAAACTCGTAATTTTTTTCTCTCGGCTTTAATACTTACACTATTCTCAGCCTCCCTGATCGGTTTTTATTCAGTCTCACGAGATTAAAAATTTTGATCTCTACACTGAAAAAAAAACATTATTAACTTGACTAAACTTTCCAAATTGGTATTTTGTTAATATAAACATATGTTAGTATTTAAATCAAATATACATTTTGATTTAATATGTTATATTTAATTTTAATATTTCTATATGTGTTCAATTAACAAAATAATAAGTCGAACGATTTTGTCAAGTTAACAATTTTTTTAGTGTATATATATATGACTATTTTCACGCGACATATATTTACGATAAATTCTATAATATATGATATACGAGAGAAAGAGAAATATCTCTCTCATATATTATATCTTGTATTTATATTCGAGATGTATATTACGTTGAGAGCTTATCATAAATAAAACTTGGCACGTAATCTATCAATTCGATGTGCGAATTTTCATCCGTTCTAAAACGGTATAAAAAGATAACCGTGGATAAAAAGGTGTCACGTTATTAGAAAGACGTTGAGAAATTAATATTATACTGCACATAAAAAAATATTTTCGCAAGCAAAATAGGTTCTTCCTATTTCAAACGATCTATGTTGATTTGCTGTTTATAATTAAATATCATTTAGTTATTAGATGATTATTTCGTGAAATCCAGCGACGATCTTTTCTCTCTTCCTAGAAATTTTCTCTTATATCCCTGTGAAATATAAGCGCGTGTGTGTGGCAACTATAAGCGAAAAAGATCGAGATTGCACTATGTTTTAATTGCTATGACAATTTTTATTCAGACATCATAAGATATAAACAGACTTCGGATTTTTAAACATTAGTGGTTCTGGACCGTGGCGCTCCATTTATTTATTTTTTTTTTATTTTTATTTTTGTATTTCTTCGTGAGAAAACGAAGAACAGACGGCGATCTATATTATTTTACAGAGCGTAAAAAATTCTGCCGCTACTCTTATGGTCATGTTTTACGGACCTGTAGTCTCTGTGATTTTTAAACTTACTGCGCTTCGGTATCGTCTGACTTCTAATTTGGCATATACATATGTATGTATATATGTGTATTTGTACGTACTAATATATATAATATATTATATTTATTTATTTATTTCGTGAAATATAACGCTTTCATTTAAATAAGAAGACCAAACGGAAGAAGGAAAGGGACACTTATAAGAGAAATTAATATACAGAACATCAAAAAAATATGGGCAAAATATGCAACGCAGTCGAAAAGGGAATATCAAGGATGAGGGATGAGAGAAACAAACCCTCGATTATACATAGATAATTTATAAGAGCGCGTTCAACGAAAATCGTCGGTGCAAGCGAGAACTTTTTGGCTTATAGTGTTCAGACACAACAACGCGCATCTCGTACAAAATGATAGACGTAATAAAAGAAACAAAAAAAAAAAAACATTTTAAGACAAGAAAAAATATAGATATCGATATACGGTTATTCGGCTGTGCGTAGGAGAATTCGCGAAGAAAAGAGGTACGCGAGAGAGAGAGAGTAGAATTTCGCAATTGGTCGTAGACAAGCCAAGAGGCTTTCGCGAAGAACGTGGTTCTGAAAGGTATTCCAAACTGTAGTAAGTGTCAGTAGTAAACTAATAAAGGATTTATCAATCGCCCTCCCCGATGTATTCGCTCGCGATTCGGCGAAACTCGAGATCCGTGTGCGACGTCTCTCTTCGACTAATTGTTAGAGATTCTAATTGGTTCTAGACACGTTCTCCCTTCGCATTGTTGCGCATTTGTCTTTTTTTTTTTTTTTTTTTTTGTTTGTTTTTTTTGTACAACCTGTGACACTGTGCGTACAAACGGGAAAAATCGAAGCTTTTACGCGACAAATCTCCAGAACCACGCCGATTGACGAGTACTTATATAAAATTTACGAGAGCTTAAAAATTTGTCAACGACTATATAAGTTTAACATTTACGTAGTTTATAGTTTAGTTTATCTATGCACATCTCTCGCCGCGCATAATTTCCCAATATATCTCACACATACACGCCGCGTTTCTGCGTATCTCAAAGTCACTCAGAATGACACACATCGATATAACGCGGTTTCTACATATTGCGATTCGGGTTTGAAAAATCGGAGATTATATTGTTGTCGCGGCTGCGTTTTTTTTTTACGACTCTCTGTCAACTGCGTTTCCTCGCGAGTGAGCTCTTTGTGCGTGAATGGGGACTCGCGCAATTTCCGAACGATTTACCCTCAATCCATTTTTCATTCGCACTCTCATATTTTTCATCTCTTTTATTTTGTATGAAATATTTAATTTTTTTAATATTACATTCAATATAAACACCCGATTATTATATATTCAATTATGTATGTTGGAATCAATTTAAAGTCGTTTTATTATTTTGATTTCGATTTTTCGTCTTCAATATTAAACCTTTTATATACCAAATCAGCAAATTGTAGTCCTTATTAATTGTATTTACAATGTAATGGGACGAATAATCGATTGATTAAGAAATGTCGCTTGATTCTCACCAATTAAATTTCAAAAAATTTAATTTAAATTTTAAGTTAAAAAAACTGTAAATCTTTCGTGAAAGGTGCCTGTTCCCCAGGAGATTAAACTGTCAGAAATATCTACAAAATGACTCTCTTCATAAGGCTCTCTGTACCGTTGAGCATGCACTTGAGTGGGTATAATCGTGGATTAAGAGAGATGGGGAGAGATTCGACGATCCGTGATTCGCAATCTAAATCTGCGTTTTTTTACCGTCTCGTCACGTATCTTAATATTTTAACGTAAAAACATGAGAGTCTCACCGCGTTGTTCCTTCATGACAAGGTCCGCATACGTCCTAGCTACCCATCCACACTTATATTTTTACCCCCGTTTGTGTAATTACCATATATGTATATATCGAGATTATATATATTAATATATATTAATATATTATATATTTTATATATATATATATAATATTATAGAATATAACATAGATATATAAAATATATTATATATAATAATATATATATAAAATATTATATTATATATACAATATACATATATAGTATATATATATATATAATATATATATATATATATATATATATATATAAAATCTCGAATCTCTCGCAGTACTAATTTATCGGCCATTCACCCTCACACATCTCAGCGGAAATATACGCGCGCAAACGGTGTTATGTACACAATTACAAATACGAATAATATCTATATCGTCACAACATATCATCAGTAGTGTACAATACACTCGATTCGCAGCTCGCTCTCGTTCTTCTCGCGCAATAATAATTGCAATAATAGTCGTTTACTTTGTCTAAGTTGATAAAAGTCTTTCTCTGGTCCGAAAGAAGTTATAGATACTTAGGCACTTGTTATCTCGTCTAGAATCCATATATACGTACGAATCATGAGTTGTAATTATCATGCTAGTAACCGGCAATTATCAGAGCAAGGGCAACGAGAGATAATTAATAATGAGAGCAATAAGAATGATTAAATCCGCCGATGTGCCTCTCGCGCGTAACGTGGTTCGTAACTTTTAACCCTCTTTTAACCCTCTATGACTTCCATTTTTTTTTATTTTAGCGAATAACAATTTGCTCGCCGTATAAAAGTTTTATTATCCAATGGGAAATTGTGGTGAGTAGATAGAAAGTTATCAAGTTAATACAAGTTTACTCTTATGAGGTAATGGTAAATGTTTTATAAAGTGTCATAAAGGGTTAACGCAGAGGTGAAAGAGGATTTTAGATTTTGCTAAAACAAAATAGACGAGTTAAAATTTATCTCTGTGAGATTGCATTTTTAATTTTCTACACGACAGATTTAAAAACTTTCGAATTCCAGATTTTTAATTTTTTGTCTCTCTTAAAAAAAAATTAATGTCATTCAATGAAATATATTAAATATGATATTTAGCGAAAGAATTTTATTTTAATAAATTAGTTTGAGAAAAATTAATGTTTTTTTTAATTGTACGATTAATTATTTGAAATTTTTTAATTCAAATTAAAATAAATATCAATTTTCAAGAATATAAAAATTCTTAGCTTTCACTTTAATTCGTCTATTTTTCGCTTTTTTTTTTTGGAGTGGACGCGGCATTCGTCGTCCTTAGATCAGGACAAATCGAACCGAAAACGGAGATTAACGTTAAACAGGGACAATGATAAATCTCTAGAGGACTGTTTCTAAAAGTAAACTCAATTCCGTTTGGGAGCCCGGATCCTCCCGGGATACTTCGTCAATTTTAGCCTCGCGACCGTCGTCGAAAAGACGAAGAAGCTCCGTTCCGCAACGACTTCAACTCGATCGTCTTCGATCCGTCTCGTCGCGGCGAAAATATATATTCTAAGAGTTTATTATTATTATATATATTCTTGTGCCTAAAAACGCGCGATCGAGCGTGCGACTTGATCCCGCTCGATCGAAACTCGCACGAAATCTCGCTAGAAATTGGCCGAGCCAAGTTAGGAATCAAGGCGACCCAAAAAATGTATCGGATAAAACACTCACGCTCTGCTAGAAAATACATGGTTTATCGTGGTGCCCGAGCGTATCGCAGGCTGAACATCTTGAACGTCTCGAGTGGTTACATATACATCTTTTTCCCCCCAATTTAGACTAAGCCAAGACATTTTGTCCCTCGAGCAGTGCCATCTCTCTCGCACCTAATTATAGCTATAAATATTCAGAACAATTCAAAAAACGTCCTCGAGCGTGTCCTCTTCGGGACAACAACAATCATCGAACACCTCCCGCGCGGTCTGAATCGATCGATTCAGGTTCCGCTGGTGATTTCGACGTTTTTTTTACTTCATCGTAACCGATCTCGTTTCTTTAGTGACTACTCCCGTTCGGAGGGAGTAGGAGTTTTCGGGTTACGTGGACGACGTTTTCATCGCGGCGACCGAGTTGTCGTCCTGCTAGGACGGCGGTTGTCGCTGCTGTTGCTGCTGCTGCTGCTTCCGATTGCTGCCGCGATGACGATAGGAGGATGATGACGACAGCTGACGGTAGACCGGTTGGCTCGGCGGCTGCTCCTGCAACGGCTGGTAACCGATCCCGGTTGCCTGATGCTGTTGCTGCTGCTGCTGATCCTGCTGATCCTGTTGCTGCTCCGTCACGTTCTGCTGCAACTGATAGGTCAACGGCTGACCACGTCGTTCCTGCAGCAACAGCTGATGCGCCGCCCGGTCCATCTCTTCCCGCGTCATGTCCAGAGCCTCTTGCATCTCGCGAGATGTGTACCGCACAAAGTCCGGGTCGCAAAACTTGCCCAAACCTTGCTCCACTAGAACCTGGAAAATGCGCGATAATGACAGCGTTATTACACTGAAAAAAAATACTATTCGACTCAAATAAATATTTATTTAAATAGTTCCATTCATACATTTGTTTGAAACAAATCAATATTTATCTCTGTTTTGAAAAGGGATTTCTTATATCAAATAAATATTTTTTCACAGCAAATCAATATTATTAGTTTCAAAAAAATGATGTATAAAATAGTATTGGAATAAATATTTATTTGAATAATTAAATAATTTTTTTTCAGTGTAAGGATTGAAATAAATTACGGGAAATTATTAACTGTCTCTCCATAATTTGGCTATCATTCCTTCAATTTACCTTGAAAATCATGGTAATCGTGGGATAATCGTATGGTATTGGAAGAATATCTTATAAGAGTTTCTCTAATTAATATTTACTACAATAAAAAATATTAATATGTATATAGCAAAATTTACTATGTACATAATAAAATTAATCGAACATATTTTATATCTATTGTGATAGATATTAATATTTTTTTATTATGATAAATATTAATTAGAGAAACTCTTACAAAATTCTTTCAATATTATATTGTCTTAGACTACCATGATTTTCAGAGTGAATTCTAAGAGAAAATTCTCTGTGAGTATATAAATATTATTATATAATATATATTTTTGAATATAGATAATTATATATTATATAATATTTAATATATCTTAAATATTATATATTAAAATATATTATATTATATATTCTATATTATATATATATATATCTATATATATATATATATATATATATATATATTTTTATATATAAATATTATATATTAATAATCTTTAATATAATTATATAATATTTAATATATTCTGAATATAGATAATTATATATTATATAATATTAAATATAGATTATAGAAAAGACTTACGATAATTTTGTAAAACTCACCCGACCAACGAGGCTCTCCGCGCTCCCGATGACCTCAAAGTTGGGCTTCCGGTCCGCGGGACTTCCGGGCATGCTGTGGGACAGGCGCTCTGCGCCGACGCTTCCGTTACTCTCTGCGGTCCAGGAAACTGACGAACGAGGAGAGGCGTCAGAGTGTTACTCGAATAAATCACGCCCTGCCTCCTTTATTGCTTTCGATTTGCTTTTTGCTTTCCGAGGTTTTTTACGTTAGCGAAAATAGCGCATTCAAATCGATTAGTGACATACAAGTGCCTCTTGCAAGCGTCGCAAAATTATTAGGTGTAATCGAGTTGCAGTTAAGTTACAAGCGTTAGGTGACAAGTTCGTGTTAGAATGTTAGTTCGAAAGCTGACAGAGCGCGTGCTTCGAGCAGCGATTGACTACCTGAGCAACACTTTGCTTCGTATCCCCCACGTCTCTCTTCGTATATTCTTGTCGATTCCTCTTGGAAATATTCATTTGCCAAGAGATGCAGGTGCAAAGATTGAAAAATAATCGAATGAAGAATGATTATATCTTGAGCTGCTTGATTTCGTGAATAAACTTGCATCACATCAGTTTTCATTCGATTCAACACAATATCAAAATAAATTTTAATTAACGCATTTTTTTTTACGTAATACAAAATATTTGATTGTTATAAATATGTCATTTATAGAAACGTGGAGAAATTAACGTGAAAACTATAGAAAAAATTTTTTAAAATATATAATTTGGAAAAATAAATTTAATAAAATCCGTAAAAAAATATAACAATTAAAAAAATATTGCTCGTGTTGAAAGTGCATCGATATACTATCTTGATATTAATCCTTTACGATCGACGATTTTCAGAAATGCGATAATATTAAATAAATATCTTTTTAATATAATAAATTATTAATCTAGATCATAATCTCTTGGGAAAATGAGAGATATTTTCATGGTATTCCTACGGTGACCATGCGTCCTTTATTTCAAGTAGCTGTCCTTTAGATTTACTCCTTTTTCCAAAACTCAATTTTATCCTTTATTAAAAAAATTTTCTAACGTCATAGTATTAACATATAAAAATTTGTACGAAAAACAACGGAACCTCTTATCCAGAATCTATTTAAGGAACTAAGGATTTGTTTCAACATAGTCGAAAGTTTCAAGCTATAAGAATACATAGACTTCTGATTTTTTTTGCTCGTCGATTTCCACTTTGATTGCAAACTAATTGGAAACATGTTGAAACAAAGCCCCAAAATTTTCAGATTTGTCCTTTATTTTCTCCCAGGAAATATGATCACCATAGGTATACACCCATGGCCATCCGCAGGATTTTTTCCAACCAATTTTTTGTTTCTTATTATTTGTTCTTACTTTTATAATTCAATGTTTTCATTATTATTTAAATATTTTTCCAAAAATAAAATTCCAAATAAATTGACAAGGAGAGCAGATGCTTAATCCTTTTACCGATTCCAAGGGATTCCAAATTCTTGCCTCTCCCTACGGACGTCCACAGGTATACCCGAAGAGTCTACCTGCGATCGCAAAGGATTAATTCGCGTGCGTTAATCAATCACCTCTGCCGTGGTAGGACGCTCGGTGCGACAAGCAGGAAGCGCAAACGCGCCATTGTCGCGAGTCCACGTCGGCGAGGAAGCCGGCCACGGCGATGGCCTGGTTCTGCGCCATTTTCAGGCCGTTGGCGATGGTGCGCATACCGGACGCGGTTCCGGCCGCGGTACCAGTCGTCGTCGTCGTCGTCGTAGTCGTCGTCGTCGTCGTCGTAGTCGTCGTCGTGACGGCGGCGTCTCGCGACCGGAAGCTCGCCGGGGCCGACTTGCCGCCGGCGGTCGCGGCGTCACGTCGGCCCCTGGACCGGCGCTTCGTCGATCGGCTACGACCCAGCATGGTCACGTGGGGTTTTCCTGTCATCGTGCCTCGCGCGACGCCGCCCTCCGAATGCGGATTCCACCTGCCGGAATCGCTCGATCCGCTTCCCGTTGACGTATCCTCGTCGTCGCAATCGTCTAAGGCTGCGTGCGAGCGGACACGGGGATGATTTATCAATTACACAAGCCTATATCTTTTCCCTTAGGTAAGTCTTATTAACGCGGCAAAATATTCCCTTCAACGCGCTGATAAAAAAAATATGATAAAACGAGAGGAAGTAAAGATGTGATTTAATAATAAAAATTAATAAATAAATGAATCATGTTCAAAATACCAAATTTCGCGCATCCGGTTGTATTATCTTTTATTAATTTTGTGGATTTTTATTTAGCCAATTATTGTAGTTTTTTTTTTTTTTCACACCCATTAATTTTGACAATATCTTCCAATATTTTTCTCTCGTTTACCAATGTTTATCTTAAAGGTTTATTAAAAAATATAAAATTTTTAGATCACGCAATTCAACAAAAAAAAAGAGAATGATCAGTTCCTGTAATTTTTTTGATGTTGGGTACTATTCCTCCAATTTTTTCTATTACTTCTCAAATTGAAAAATTTAATTAAAATTGCAAAAATATTCTAATGCATTTTAAGGAATTATAACTATCATACACATGTATTGAAAAAATTTTATCGCAATCAAAAGTAGTTAATATTGCAAACCAACTTCTCGAATAAATATTAAAATCCCCTTTTTTGCAATTTTCACATGAAATTTCTCAAAATTCAGACTCAACATTCGGAAAGAATTTTGTTGATTGAATTGCGTTATAGCCGACGAGTGTTTTCGAGGACAGGGGATCAACAACAGGATCATAATCTCCTTTTAAACGATTAAACCGGCGTTCCCGTACCGTGATTACTCCAGGCTGCGCAATCGACGCAGCAGCCGCGCGACGCGTAGGTATAGTAACAGTTAGTCCCATTCGAGGAGGAAGCGGGGCTTGAGCTGGTCGCGGTGGTCGAGGTGTTTGCGCTCGTGGTGAACGACGCGGTGATCGTCGTCGTCGCGACGCTCGATCCGCTCGCCGTGCCTTCTCCTGCGGTTGCTGATGCTGCTGCGACCGCCGCCACAGCCGCGACCGCCGCTGCTGCGGCGGCTGGGGTGTGCGCGATCCCGGAGCTCGGGGTGCCGGTGGACGAGGACGGGGCGTTTCGTCGTGGCGGTGGTGTCGGTGGCGTCAACTGCCGCTCGATTCCATCCTGAAGACTGCGGCACGAGCGTGCAACGCGCGGATAGGCGAGAAGGGAGAAAAGCGCAAACGTCGCTCTTAGTAACGTTAGTGCGTGATCACGCGGGGCAAATCGGTACACGCACTCCCGAATGCCTCGAGATGAGCTCGGAGAGAACCGGTCTCTTCGCGGAGAACAGGTTAGTCAATCGGAATAAATGATAGAAGTTCGATATTAATTAAGTGTGCTTTGTATTATTAATTGTAATAAAAATAATATTAAATATATATAAATATATATATTTAATATATATATATATATATTTAATATATTAATATATCTTTACTATATTTCATCTATTATATCTATATATATATATTTATATATTTAATATATTAAAATAATATTATATATATATTATATATATTTTATATATTTTAAATAATTTTATAAAAAATTGATGCTGCTAAATGAAGTCGAGTTTTACTCGAGGCATTTGGAGGCGTCCAACAAGCATTATCATCAAGTGTAATGATTAACAGTAGATGCAACATGCGCGATCAGCTGGATGAAGCGCTAGGATTTGCAGATTCAAACGCATTCCGGTTGCACTTCGAAATACGTATGATTTCCGCATATCTAATTCGCAGTTCGGTTCCCCCGTTTAACTAATCTTCACGCGACCATCACATTTCCCGGTCTCTTGTGAAAATGTTGAACGGGATCCTGCGGGCGTGATTTATGAAAAATAGAGACATGCACAAACAAGCAATGCTGATGAACGAAAAAAAAAGACAAAAAAAGAGAGTGAAAAGCCAACTACCAATCGCAGATTTGTCCCTAACTTGTCTTACCATATTCGCTATTGGGATGAAGATAGTTACGGCTAGCCGATCCACTGAAACGTACGATAGTAAAGAGAAGAGCGAAATGAGAGAAGATACGAATCACGTTCGCGCGACGCTAAAAAGCCTGTCAAACTTTGAAATAAACACGCGAATGGTAAAATCAGCTGATTCGCAACCGAGATTCTTTATTATGACTTTTTACTCATGATTCGCACATTTACAACAATGAAGATGAAAATATTAAACAAAAACTTGATGCATCTGTAGCATTTGTTGTTTCTCTTTCGATGAAATTGACGAAACGTAAGTTACTTCGCGATACACATTGAGCCAATTAAAAAAGAAAAAAATTAAATTGATGAACATTCTACATGCATTATGACGTGATACCGAGAGAGAATGAGGTTGTCGGTAGGGAGAATAAAAAAAATCATCGATTATACACTCAAACAAGAGACATAATAGACTATAACAATAATAGAGTATATATAACTGATGATGCGATTTATCGCTCACACGTGTTCTCTACTTACTCGACCACTTTATACCCGCTCTGTTGCACCGGATTGCCAAAAGCAGCGAGCGGTCTCAGAGGTATGCTTTCCTCGACACCCATCAGTCGCGCGTTTATTCCCATCTGATTCATCGCACCGTCGCTCAGGCCACTACGGTCATTTTATTTAATTTATGTATACATCAGAGAAATTATTTTTTAGAAAAAAATTTGACAAAAAGCTGATTGAAATACGGGAAATACCCACCCTGCTACATTTGGCACAACTTGGTGAGTAAGTTTCTTAGCGGCATCCGGAAGAGCGGCCCTCCGTAACGAAGCGTATGGTAAAAAGTCTATAGAATTGGTCGGGGACGCCTACAGGAAACAGTTTTCGATTAGAATAATCAATTAGGATTAGATGAATTGTATGAAGATTACTTACCTTTGCAACAGTAGAGTTAACCTTAAGCGATCTCGCCCTGTGGAAGCTGTGATGTCCCTTTCGCATGCTGGACCACACGCTGCCAAAGAGCGAGTGATTTCTCTGAAAAAGTATCCTCCAGTTTAATTTACACATTGAAAGAAGCATTTTTTCGTAAATTAATAATTGCGTGATAATCTATTTTGTATAAAAATTCTTATTTTTACTTGAAAAGCGCTTACCCTGTGCATAGGTTCTGGATTGTCATCGAGGAGTTCCTCTAAATTACCGGAAATCGCGCGTTTCAATTCGGGACCAGCTTCGTGTAACGTTCTCAACCCGGCCTTTTCAAAATTAAAATTATATTTGCCAAATATTATCTCGATATACTAATATACAACCCTTCTACAATTACTTCCGATCTCTTCATAGACTCACCTGAAGGGTCACGGTATTAAGACAGTCTCTGTCTCCATCCTTCATTTCCTGTTCCTTGCGTTTCTTGAATCGGCGGAAATAGTCCTGGATGAGGAAAGTCGCGTAAAACTTGCCGACCGTCACCTCGTCGTCCACTGAAAGGATCGATTCGGATAATTGTAAATGATTATTCACAATTAGAAATTAAATTTCGCGAGAAAAACATCGCTATTTACCTCCGGGCGGCGGAACGACCTGATCCAGAAGCTTCGGACTGGTCCTCTTCCAGATCTTCTTGATCACCGCCCTGAGTTCGGCATTCGCGTCGTCGATGTTGCCCTCCGTTTTGATCCTCAACGAGGTCCTCACGACGGCGAACAGCGTCGCGTTAAACAGCACGGTGCCGTCGCTGTTTAACGGCATATTCATCGAGACGAGTCTCTGAATTTTACAAATTTCGCGAGATTAGAGAAATTTTAATTGTAATATTAATTTCATTTTTTTAACTCAATAATTGTCTCGTTTTACTCGCGCGATTTTATTAGACGCGATACTCGAGCGAAAATTAAATTATTTTTAATTAATAATAGAAAATAGAAATAATATTTTTATATAACATAATATATATAATATAATATATATAACATAATATATATAACGGAATATTCATCGAGACCAGTCTCTGAATTTTACATTTCGCGAGATTGGAGAAATTTAAATTGCAATATTAATTTTTTTTAACTCGCACAATAATTGTCTCGTTTCACTCGCGCGATTTTATTAGACGCGATACTCGAGCGATAAATGTAATATTACATCGCGTATCGTGTGGAGAAAGTTATTTAATTAATAATGAAAATAGAAATAATAATATTTTTATATAACATAATATAAATAAGATAAAAATGTATTTATATATATTTTTATATAAAAAAAACGAACACTATTTTTTGAATCGGTGATGCTATTACAGGCTCTCTATCGTAGACATAGACCCATAATTATAAACCCTTCATTAAGCTTAGCTACTGACCTTACAAGCTACCCTATGAGGGCACAGCTTTCCGAAACCTAAGGGTGGCGATATCTTCCTCAGCAACGTCACCACGTCGAGATGTTTAATTCGTCCTTTCGCGTCGGGATCGTATTCGGACCACAGGCGAATAAATTCGTCCAAATGATGCGGTCCGAGAATCGACCAATCTCTCGTCAAGTAGTCAAAGTTGTCCATAATGACGGCGACGAAGAGGTTGATGATCTTTTTTCGCGAGATATATAAATATCAGATTTATCAAATTTGAAAAAAAAAATGATATTTTCAAGGAAAATACGTATATACAAGATTCGCAGAGACGAGAGTACTTACGAGAAATGAGCAGAGCACGTAGAAAGATATGAAGTAGGGAAATGCAATGTCCGATCCGCAGCCCTCGGGCTTAGCGAATTCGTCGCTGTTCGGATCGCATTTAACTTGGTCTGGGTTCACCGAACAAGCCATCATGATTTCTTGCCAGGCCTCGCCTATATTCGGAAACAATGAAACAATTTTTTATTTTATTTATTGTTTTATTTTTTTTTTTTAATTATTTTTTATTTTATTTTATTTTTTATTTTATTTATTTTTTTTATAATAACTATGCGCTTATCTTGAAGAGAGAGAGATTTATCGCAGTTCTCATTTCTTTCTCCATTATACTATTGAATATATTGAATGTATACTTACCGGTCGCCGATCTAAACAAGACCAACACGGCTTGCGGAAAGGACTGGAAATTATTATTGCGATTTATCGGCGTCTCGTCGTCTATCGCGATCTTCCCAAAGACCTGAGAAGAAAATCGTTCGCTTAAATCGTCGTTTTCCCAACGCTTTTGAACCGCGCGTCGCGTTTAACCGATCGATTTCGCTCACCTGCATGCCTATCACTGCGTAAATAAAGAAGAGCATTATAATGAGAAGGGCAACGTATGGCAGAGCTTGAAAGGACTTGATGAACGTCCATAAAAGCGTACGGATGCCCTCCCCTTTGCTCAGTAGCTTGACCAATCGCATTACACGAAACAGCCTGAAGAAATTGATGGAAATGAGGGTGGATCCAGGACCCTGCAAGGATCGTAAAACGGTTGACTCGCAGTTCACACTTCCGGCTCTTTAAATATAATCGCGAATATTGCTTCTCGGGGTGCTCGATCAAAGTCCGATACTTACGTGAACTTCCGAGTAAACGATGTCGATGAAGCTTCCGAGCACGATGATAAAATCAAAGACGTTCCACGCGTCGCCGAAGTAATTCTGCAAATTAATAAGAACGGATGACACGCAGTTACATAAAATTGACAAATTTTTGTTCAAAAAAAAAAAAACAACAAACGGTCCAGAAATTTTTGGGTGAATTTTACATAATACGGATATGTTAAATGAAGATACAAATACTGTGTTAATATTTTAACACAAAATAAATGCAAAACTTTAAGTAATTAAAATTAAATTTTGTGTAAAATTAACATAGTTTTAATGCATGTATTATCATCCCCATTTATATTATAAAATAAAACATCAGCATTTTTTCTGTAAATTTTAACAGATAAATCTTGTCGCTAATAAAACAGAACATACGATATTTATTATGTAAAATTAAAAATAAATGCACATTGCATTTTTCAGTTGTTTTAATAATTTAATATTTAAGTTCAATTAACACGACAGTAATATGTTAAATTTGCACATGAATGTGTTAAATATTCAAGAGAAAAATTTTAATACGGGGACCATTTTTAAGAAGAAAAGACAACTTGTTCTACTGTGTAGTTGCCGGTGTAATTAGATGTGAAAGCTTTCTATGCAACTACACAAACGTAATGAAGCACAAATACAGAATATGCATAAAGGTGAGTCCGCACCTTGAATCGAAATGCAGCCAGCTTGAACACAAATTCAAGGGCGAACACGGCGGTGAAGATCATATTGAGAACGTCCAGAGCGCTCGTGTACATTTCCGGTTGCCGGTAGAACTTCATCGCGAGTGTCACGGTGTTGATCATAATTAGCGTGAATATCGTGTACTCGAACGGTTGGGAGGTGACGAACCACCAGACTTTGTACTGTACTCGATGCTTTGGTATGTATCGGCGGACTGGCTTCGCCTTTAGTGCGAACTCGATACAATTTCTCTGTACAGGAAAACGGTAAAATTAATCCATTCACAATACAGGGTGTCTAGCGGTCAAGGAAATCTGGAAACCGAGCATTGCGAGGGAATTTTATAAATCGGTATAAATTGGAAATTTTTTATTAAATAAATATAAACTTTTCCTCGACTCCAAGTACGCTAATTTTCTGTGTTAAAAATCGTTCGTTAATTTATATTTTCATCGTCGTGTTATTTTATTTCAATGTGTTTGACAGAGACAAAACTAAAAAATTATTATATAATATAATAAAAAAGGATGATTATTTAAATAGTTTCTTGTGACACGTTTGTTTCGATTATCGTACCTAATGTAGATTGTATAATTGATTTAAATTTTTATTTTTTTTAACTTCCAAACCTTTTCATTGTTGACAAAAATATCTCAAGGATTTCATGATTTCATTGATTTATCATATAGATATGCAAATTATATATTTGGAAAAAATAATACTAAAAAGTCAGGGAAAAGATTAATTTTTGGTCTTGGAAAATCTGAAAAAATCAGGAAATTTTTCTCATTGAGTCTGCTGGACACCCTGTGAGAGAAAGTATAATGAACAAATATTTTAAAATATTTTATAAACAGAATACACAGAATGAAGTTTCTGAATGCGCAATTTTCCTCGGGAAAAATCCGTTGCCGGGAGGTCTATATAATTTGCAACGATTTTCATAAATTTTTATTAATTAACATGATGGTTAATAAATTTTAATAAAAGTTACACTACATTTTATCATCAATTATTGTAAATTTAATTATATATGTATAATATAGCGTTACTTTTTAAAGTGCTTGTTTAATTAGAAATTGAAATATTGTCGACATCGCGCATGTACGTCTCTCATTATAGTGTAGGCGCTATATTAATTTGATTATAATGGTTAATTAATTAATTATTCGCGCAATATATATATATATATATATACTTACCTGATTTTTATCGAGCTCGCAGTTTTTGTACTCTTGCTCGCCTTCGTTCTGAAATGTGACGATAACGAAACCGACGAAGATGTTCACCATGAAGAACGCGATGATGATGATGTAGATGATGTAGTAGGCGGCCACTATCGGCCGGAAGTTATGAATTGGTCCATGATCCTCTTTGTTGGAGTCGATCGACCATTCTAACAGTCTGTCAGCAGGCATGGAAGACAATGTTAAATGATATCTCGAACTATCGTTAGAATTGTCTACCCTTATTTATTCTCTCGCAATATCATTAAAGCAGAATAGCATCGTAGAAGATCGAGATACAATAAAATTCAGGATCGGAGAAAGTGATAAAAATGAAGCGAATTCGCTTAAGCGACAATTAATCGTGTCGATAATAAGAGCGAAAAAAAACTTGACTCTCACGACACATAAGTGATCTTTTCTATATTTAATTCGCGATCGAAAACCTCTCGAAAACAATGTTTCTCGAACACAATGAAAATGTACTTACGATGGCCAACCTTCGAAAGTCGAGACCGTAAAGAGGGTCAGCATCGCCTTAGCGACGTCATCAAAGTGAAAACGTTGCTGAAGCCACTCTCTCTGTTTCACGGCCGGTCTATTGATATTACCGTCCTCGAATTCCAAATAAGTGCCCCTGGAAAAGAGAGTGCCTTGCACAGTTTTTCCAAAAGTGGGCTCCATTTGATCTTTCTCGATTTGCGCGTGAATATGTGTGTCAAAAATCAGATTAGAAATTTTCCCCTCTATTTTACATTTAATATATCCGTGAATTTTTTTAAAACTCTTATGTGTGTTTATACAAATTTAAGGGAAATTAAAATACAATTATTTATTTCTAATCGATTTAATTTATAACGCAATGAGAACTTACCGGCACTCGAGCTTCGTCATTTTCGATGCATCGGTACAATAGAAAAACTTGCCCTATACAACACAAAAAGTCCATCAATTTCGATCGCCGATATTAAATATAACGTATCCGTTAATAGGGGACTAAAATTTATACGCAACATGTTAAAGCTGCGAGTGACACGCTGGCGTTTCTCAAATTCAATTTAACGCCATTCACCGAGCTAAGTAATTATTTTCCGTGCAAATATGGCACTCCACACACGTGAGTAATTACGTTATTAGATAATCGACTCAGCATATTTATATATACTTGCGACATGACGCACGTAATTACTATGCGCTTCGGTCTTTAATTACTCTTGCGTAAATGACAAGACACTACAAAGTCTCGAGGTATTTGTAGTAACTTGCAATTCGTGTAAAATCGAGCACGAGAATCGCCAGCGCGTCGTAATATTATATAGACATCAGCTGTGAATCGGCCATTCTCAGTTTGCAAGAGCAGCGGCAGCAACAGCGAGACGTGATCGAGCAAAGTATGAGGGTGTTAGAATGTGAGGCGAAAAAACGTGACAGGGAAGACAAAAAAAGAAAGAAAAAGAAAATAACATTCCTCGTCGGCACGTGCATACATATGTACAACAAGGTACGATGCGTGCGGTCATCCGACGATTTCGCGACTATATACACAGGTATGTATATATATGCATGATATATCCGTGTACAAAGAAAAGCGTAATTCTGGTTCACACGTTCGGCTTGGAGTGCAGAAGCACGCTGAGGAAGAGAGGTGTCGGTGAGAGAAAAGTCGGGGTTTTTCGCCCTCTCCTCGCTTTGGAACTTGCGTCGCGCCAATGTCGACAGATCGAGATAGATAATCGCGAGATAAATAATAATCCCCTTCTCGCCTCACGTAAGTCTCATTCGATCTCAAAATATTCCAATTATATTATTTTATTTTATATTAGAAAATTATCATTTCTTTGGCACAGCAACATTTTTCTACTTATGATATTATCCACAGTTTTTTAAGCATCGAAATTTATTTTTTCATAGACCTGTGTAAAAAAAAAAATTCAGCATTTGCTCTTCTTTTGAATATAAAAAGGTAACAAAAAAATTAAATTTAAAAAGTTTAATTATGCCTCCTCCTGGAAAAAATCCTGCGGACGCGTCTGTGACTCTCGTTTCAAAAAGATATTTTTCTCGACAAATATATTAACAGACCTCAATTATAGGCCGTAATTGATATAGAACTAATACAATTATAAATTAATTAATATTACGTAATATTACATAATATCGATACGGATTTACGATATTAGCGCGCTGTAGAGTGTGAAAGCTATAATTGTTACATAAAACACATTGCAGGCGTATGTATATGGTTTTAGCTATAAGGTGGATAATAGCATTACTTAATTATGCAAATTCCAGCATCAAACTCTCAAGTGAGCCGTATAATAATACAATGAAATTATACGCGCGTTGTTCATTTGCGGAAGTAGCGTATATACGTGACTCTTGGCGAGAAGGGACGAAAAAAGATACATCCCTTATGTAAACGTTGCAATTATCGCGCAGCTGAACGATCGCGACTTGCAGGAGACACGCTCGAAACGTTGTCGACGAGAGATCATCGCGTCCGCATGACATTATATCTGTCGACATGGCGCGTCCACGTGGACGAGAGACTCGGACACGACATGGGGAAAAAGCACGAACAATGGGCCGACGTGACGCGCCAAATTGTACTAATTGCCACCTACGTAACACGAGCTGGTGCGGGCTAAAATAACGAACAGATTGAAATAACAACGCAGGCCCACCCCCTATATATACCCGCTGACAGCAGTGCGTAGCCTCTGACGATTTTCTATGTTTATAATATACATAACATCGTCTCTCCCTCCCTCCCATCCGATCTCCTTCCTCTTTTTTTTTCCACTTCCGTCCTCTTCTCCACTTTCTTGTAATCCATAATTGCTTGCAAGTAAAAAAGCACAGGCGTTGCACGTATATTCGTGCAGAAGCAGCGTCGACGATGTATATATATTTTTTTGTTATTTCATTTTATTTTATTTTTTGTTACATCGCATATCTATTCATTCGGATATATATTGTGTTCGCGTTGATTAAATTAAAAATCTTTTTTTTTTTTTTTTTTTTTTTTTATGTCGAGGGGAAAATAATATTTGTACGTGAAAAAAAAAACGAACGTTTATCCTCCTCGCGGGATCGTTTTAAAATGAACGAGCATATAAATATTGGGACCGATGGCCGCAAATGTCATGGGATAGACAGCCATAATGAAAGACATTAAAGTGTTCATGGAACACTGCCAAGTGTGTTTGAGAATATGTCGACGATTCTAATTAACCCTCGCAGCATTACCCTCTCTACTTCGTTAATGGTTATTAGGGCAACCTTAATGGCCAGTCCCACTTTATGACTGTCTATCCCGGCATTACTTCATTATTGGTATATTAAAGAACGTTTTATCGCAATCTTGAGTGTTTCACTACAATCTGATGTAATTTTGCTAAATTCATTCGGTTTTTTTATCTTCCTGTAATTTTTTAACGACACGACAAAATTTCATCTTCCATTATAGGTATCATTATTATTACGAATAATTATAATTGCTCATTATTTTGACGCGTTAAATATACCGTCGACGACTCCATCAATTTTACATCGAATTTATCATCTTCCTAAAAAAAAAAAAAAAATCACGTTCGACTATTTTATTGGATGGTAAAAATATTATAATACAATTTTGTGAATCCTTATTAATTGATCGAATGACGTCGTTAGATCGATTGCACTTTAACGATTATTTTCCCGCGCTTATTTTATCAAACAGATTGATTAGACTTTAATTGATACTTTTCCTAAAAAATGAAGCTTACATATTTTTCGCCTGTTATAAGCTGATTCATATATATATATGTCTATATACTCTACCAAGATAATATTCTCGTAATAAAATAATCCACGTGGATTGAACCACATTCGTAAATATAATAAAATTTGCGCACATTCGCGCGATATCAAGAGACAGAGATAGAAAAATCCCGCGACTTACAAATCCGATTATTACCGCAGTCATCCCGTTCCTCGCCTCGCATCGAAACGCAACAACCGTCCATTTATAACATTCGAAAAAAAAAAAAAATAAATAAATAAAAATAAAAAAAGAATACATCCAGATTCCAAGCAACGCGTGTCGGACGAACCGCAACCGAGGTTATTCCCTATTAAATTCATCGTCTTCTCGTTACAACACGGTTACATCGTTGCGATGCAAGCCGATACTCATTCTGTATAAGCCACATTAATAAGCGTTATTCAGGGGTGGAAAAAGCGGAGAAACGACGTGTCCTCACTCGTCGTGTCGTCGTCTGCGTCTCGTCGGAGGAGGCTCGGCATTTTCAATAGAATGCAATTTCGCGAAGCGCAGAGCGATATCGATTTTAAAACGTCGCGAGGGAGTTATACATTGTCTACACACCGCATTCCCACTTCCGGCGTGTGTGCATGAATAACGTTAGTCGAAGTCGACTCGAGCGAGTCTCTCACGCCGCGTAACATATACATATACGTGTACATATATATTATATATAGAATAACTGTTGAAAGTTCTCTGTGTTCGCACATCTCTCTAACATATAGATATATATGTAAGGGAAACTACTACGCTAATGGCGCATCGCGGGTCCCCGATCGGACTCGCGTGCGAGAGTAACTTCGACGCTATTTCACACTTTGTGGCTCAGAAACATGTAACGTCGTATCTTATACATATACGGACATCTCCGCTCGAACAATCTTATCACTTTCATCTAAACCCTAAATTCAAGTGTACAGTCTCTTCTACAGTTCCCTCGTGGGGTCTTGTGAGTCGTGAAGAGCTAACTGGTGTCTATAGTCGTGGCAAAACGAAACGATTAATCTGAAAAAGGGAAAAACAGAAAAAATGGCGAAAATTATTTATTCAAAATATTTTTACCAATTTTCTAGGCTTTTTACATAAATTTCATCGTTGATATGTATAATGCGAAATATAATTTGTGAATATTAATTATTCATTTCCTTACTAATATTTAATTTTTATTTCTTTATATAGTATATGTACAAAAATATATATTAAAAATTCGTTTCGTTCTGCCACATAATCACGTGTCAAACTCGTGGTTTCGGTGCACGTGGGACGGCCAGCATGCACTACGATTAAAGCTTCATTCTCACATCTAGCGAAACTGGCATGCCTGGTTAAGGGGTGTCTATCTTTAAAGGGAGATACGATTATATGGCTATATGGTATGCGTATCGTTGGTGTGTGAGAGAGACGAGAATAAATATATATATAAATTATATACAAAAAAAAATAGAGATGTAATGTATATTTATATATATATATTTATATATATACAATACATAATTTGCACGTCGACGATAAATTACACGACAATCTTGCCTGGTTTTTTTTTTGTCAAGAAGCGTTAAGTATACTGTTAATGACAGCGTTACCGTGCGCGAGGGTGTTGCCATAAAAGAGGGAGAGACGTACAAAGAAAGAGATACCGGCAGCAACGAGATCGTGAATATATATATATGCATTTGCCGGGTGATCCGTCATCGGTTCGTTATCCGTCAGAATCACGTGCGATAATTAATAATCGATGATACATCGGCCGGATAATCGAATGATGCCCGGTGCAATTTCGCAATGAAAGCAAGCTCGCTTGTGCATGAAGAAAGTTGCTTCGGAAACGTGTCCGTGATAGTATATCGCCATGTTACAGCGTTATTGCGTTAGAAGTTTCGTAACATGTTCGCTTCGACGTCGTAAAACGCTGCATCTTGCTGCTGATACGAGTTCCCTTGTACGATATGTAAGAGGGATGGGAAAAATAAAAAGAACGGAGTAGAGAACAAGAGAGAACGCACGTGAAACACACACTTAGGCAAACTAGCTTTGCGAATATCCTGCAAATGCTGGCATATTTTCCCCGTGATGGTTTCATCTTTTTTAATTGCGAGCGAAAGAGTCTGTGCAAGATTGTTTG